TTTGTTTGAGAATTAATAGGGGCCGCGGCGTGGCCACATAACCACTTGGGAAGTGCATAATCTCTTTAATAATTTTCACGGCCTGGAGTCACAATCACACATCAATTGTTCAGATGATTTGTTTCTAGACATTTGACATGTTTCCGTTCGTGCTGAACCAGCTCATTTTTACGCACCTCATCCCAAACCTTCCGTTGCAAATTCCAAAAGGTCATTTTAGAACTAATAACAGAGGCTTGAACCATTGATATGCAGGTTAAAGCGGTTATTAATGCAGTCTAACGCAGTTATTAGAGAGAGAGCGCGAAAGAGAGAGAGGGAGAGATTAAGTGCATGTGAATACTCGCTCTGTGCATCTCTCAGCAGTGTGCAGCAGCAGCTTCTACTAATAGCGAATCTTTAAGTTGAACTGCTTCAAGAACCTCGCTACTGGGAAACGTCATGGAGACGGGAGAAAGAAAGTGTGATTTCTGTACATAAAAAAGGTTGAAGACATGGAAATAGTTAGTCATTTTTACCCTATTGTTTGTTATATTTATTTGCTCAATGTCTTCTGGGGTTTTGGTTCTTTTACTGTTGTAGATACCCCACAGTATAACAAAAATATTATATTTCTCTTCATTGTGTTTAGGCCCCCCCTGGACGAACAAGCAAATCCGGCCCTGGTTATATTATCGGTCTGTGACTTGAACTTTTTGTCATCATATAGGCTACCATATTGGATCGTATCTAGGCCTACATAATATTGAGGCCTATATAAATAGGCAAAGTAGGCCCTACTATCAAATTCCAACATCATGTTCTGATAAATCAAACAACATTTGCTCTGACAAAGGCCCGTTTAGACCACACCTAAGCAATCTGCACCTCAATGCATTATATCTTCCATAGATTAATCATTAAGTGCAACATTACCGAGAAGACCAAATAATTGCCCAATGAAAATCTGTAAATGCCAGGCCTGTTATCGAGTTATCTACCGTTATCACGTTGGAACGCTGAACATTCACACCGTGTCTGAAGAACAATGCCGTTCAATGCTGAATATCTCTCAGGAAAGGAATGAATGGACATGCAAATATTAGAAACAGGAGTAGGCCAAAGATAAAAGAATATATCCTTAGAAAGGTTTAATTCTTTGTTCAAAGTAACATTTCACGTTTTGCTGACATGAAAAATAACAGCAAATAAAAAGCCTTGTTATTTTGTTTCGACAAAAACAGAATCTCTTGAATGAAATGAACATGTTTCAATGTTTTAGAAGAACACAAATATCTGGCAATTACCACAAAGAGAAAAATAAAAAAAATGTCATGAACTTGTGCTCTGAACATTTTCTTGGAACTCAAGTTAAAAAAATAAGAACAAAACCATTGAACTATTCACCCTGTTAAGTACATGATTCTCCATCAAAAATGGATTTTGGAAAAGTCTTGAAAGAAAATTCTGTTGATATAAAAGCATCAAAGTTCTAACTAAGAAATATAGTCATCTCAACACAAATGTGTATCTTGTTTGTTCGGCTGTAAGATCACCAAACACACTATACAGGCACAGATTTCGCAATGCCTTTTTATATCAAAATAAATCTTTGGCATCTACTGTACAAAATCCACATATTTACACAGTCTATTGACCCAGTGCTGCTCCAACACTGCTGAATCATTAATCACTGTAGACCTGGCCTTTTCAGTCTTTAGAGAGCTTTGCAGGGACTTTGGATGTGATCTTCTACCAAGGCCTCCAGACAGCGTCACAGAGCATTACAGGTTGCTTAGGACTTGAAGTCATGGTGGGAGCAGACAGAACAGTTCTTTGTGCAAGCGTCGCACAGCCAGATGGTGTGCAAGGATTGCTCAGTTGGACACGAGTGAGATGCTGCTGTGCTGGCAGTGATGAGTCCTCATTGAGATGCACCTGAGTTTCTCTGCGGGATGGTGTGGACAGTAGCTGGGCTTGCATTGAGTGTGATTTGTGAAGGTTTCCAAATGCTTTCTCCACTCCCTGTCCAAACTCATGGCTCTTGCTAGCAATAAAATTGCTGAGTCGTATCAGACATGTCCTCATTCCATCACGGTAGCTCTGACATTTGCTAGGTGAACTCAGGTCCTCATCAGACTCCTCTGTGCGTGCTCTTTTTCCTCTGGTGATTTTAAAAGGGTCAGTCCCCAGTCCTTGTTCAGCTCTTAAGAAGTGCACAACACTTTCCAATATTTCAGCCTTTTCGACTTTAGGGTTCTTGAGTTTCTATTAAAAAGAAGAAATAAATGTGGACAGATAAAGACATCTTTTACGGGCTACATTAAGTTAGAGTCTTTATTTAGAAACCTAACTTACCTCATCGTGTGTATTCTCAAGTAATAGCATCCTCAGAGTTTCTAAGCTTTGATTAATGCGATCTCTCCTTCTTTTCTCCATAAGAGGTTTTGAGACCTGTAACATTAAAAACAGTGTAGTTAAAAAAATATGGTAAAATATAATTCTTAAAAGCCTTATTAACATGATAAGTAACAAATCTTCATATCACATTTTGTCACATTGCCACAAGATAACACAGAATAGCCCAATATGTAAGGCTGATAGGCTATGTGAATTATAATTATATTTCAGATGTCTGAAAATACATTGTGAAACAAATAAAGTTTGGTTTTTACCCGTCTCGAGTCTTTTTGTTCTGGTATGTCAGCAGCTTGTTTACTCATTTTGGCGATTAACTAAATCCCTCTGAAGTGAGATTATAAGCATCGTTTTGGAGTTCAGGTCATTTATGGTACGGTCAGTAGACGCCCAATCTTCTCATTATGAATAATAAAAGTATACGAACCAATCACATGCGTCCGTGAGCTAGCCCCTCATTAATATTCACGGCCGAAAGATACAGCCTGTAAATAATGTCAATTGTGAAGTAAGAGCCAAAAATCACCCATTTAGCCCCCACACACGATCGCTATTCAGTTAAGGTATTGCCAGAGATTATAAAGAATGTTTGAACCATTCACATTCGTTATAAGGCCTATTTAAAAGAACCACTGAAAGGCGATTAGGCATATTACCTGCTGTGATTTCAAATCGTTATGATTATCGATAGACAATAAAGTGCACTTAGCCATTTGGACAGTTATAACACTGCACAGTAGGCTATTACTGTTTCTGCAGGTTGTGTATTTAACAATGCTATGTGAGAATATTTAATCCAGGATAAGGTGCTTTCATATGCTAAATATTGACTTGCACAGCACAGTCCATCCATCTTGTAAATTCAATCTCACAATAAAAATGAAGTAGCCTAAGGTATTTTACTTCTTTCAACTGGTTTACTATCACTGCTTTTTCATTAGTGTAGGCTATCAGGTGGGATCACAGTCTCCCCCTACACACTGAAGCGTCAGGACGTGTTTGACTTGGTTGAGTCACTGAAGTGTGGCTTCAATTGAAAGTGGTCTTTTGATGTGTGTGGGGTCTTCTCGTGTGTTCGCAAACAATTTTCCTGCCTAACGAATGAGGGCTACAGCCTACAGCTAATTTCATTTGGAAACGGCTTTTTATCAAAGAAAATGGACGTGGAAGCTTAAAAAAAAACTTACAAAACTTATTAAAAACAAACAAATAAGTTGTTTTTGTACTCTCTTCCAATAATCAGTTTCAAAAAGTTTCAAATCTCACCCGAAAAGTTTTGCTTTGCTTAATTCCTGAGGATCCACTTGATCATTTCAACAATTTACAAGTGTAAACGTGGGACAATAATGGTTGGCCTAATCGCTCACACTTCTATCAAAACACTACCTTACAGCACACTTAACAGATTTGCTCTAAAAGCCTGGGCATCACACCTCTTCACACCCCCCTTTTCACCATAAAGCAGGATGCGCGTGTACTTTTCACTGACGGACACGAGCTAATCTCACTTGGCGCGCGACTCCAAAAATGCCAACCCGATCTCATGAAAGTGTGTATAAATAGTACGCCAAATAAAAAAGAAAAATCGTGGTATTGATACGCAAAAATGGACTTTGGCGTGTATATGCTACGCGATTAGGGTTGTGGGGTAGATGCGTATCATATGTACGCGAAAACTGCGTATCATATACACGCCAACAAATTTCGTATCATATGCACGCGAAAACTGCGTGTTATATGCACGCCAAACACATACGCATCTTATGCACGCCAAAGTCAATTTTTGCGTATCAATATCATGAGACCGGGCTCAAAATGCATCATATTTTCTCTATTTTTAAAGTAAGCATATTCGTATAGAAATTAAACTGTTTCCATTGCTTCCACATTAAACGGAATTTAGGCCTATATGGCCCGATATTTTCACTCATTATTGTCACAATAAATATTCAATTTATGTAGCCTACATTTTTTTATAATTATGATATAGGATATTTTCACTCATTATTGTCACAATAAATATTCAATTTATGTAGGCTAATTCAGAGCTTCAGCTCAGTGTTAAATCTGTAATTTAATTTAAAATGTTTTTAAAAAGTGCGATGCTTTTACCAATGCAGATTGTCACTTTGGCATCACTTTGATTTTACGATTCATCTTACTTTTCAATTTTAGTGTAGGCTACTGACCAAATTGTTATGCTACTTTTATTCACCAAAATGTCAGGACAGATGCCATTTGTGCCCATATGTGTTTTAGCAGTTCACCTCAAGTATTGTCCTCAGCTGTTTATTCAAAACCGTTTGCTGATATTTGCATAGGTCTATTGAAGCATACAATCAAATGGCAAACTTTTTCCCCATCAAATGTTTCTAAATATGCTTAAAAATAAAGCTTCAATCTATTTTTGATGACTGTTTTAAATATTATATATATATATATTTGTTTCTGTTTTGCTTGTCCTTAGATGTCATAAGTAACACGTCTGTTTATTGATTGTTTGGTTAAGGCAATAGAATGCTGGGTGGAAAGTTCACAGTGCCTACGTCACTGCCACCTCTCCGCCAATCAGATGCCACGCCAGAGGCTTAAAATTCCCGTTTGGCTCGATTCCAGCAGTTTCCCACATCTACGAATTTAAGCGTGCAGAGCGAACTGATCAACTCTCAACATGACGAAGACAGAAGGCGTCAAAAGAGTAAGTTCTTTAAAAAGCAACTTTTTCTTTCCCCAAAAATGATTTCTCAAATACTTTATATTTAGCCTAATTTATGTTTATTTGATTGCACGCAGTAGTTAAATCTGAAATGTTATGATAACATTGGAAACGTAAAACTTACTAACAGTTTTAATTTTTTACTTTTGTTTAAAGAAGTTAAAGCCTGTGATAGAGAAGAAGAGAAGAGACCGAATCAACCATAACCTAGATGCGTTAAGAGATCTGCTTTTCAAGAACACTGCAGACACGGTGAGTAGCCTACCTTTCCTCGATTTATGATGCATTACTTCGCATTATTTCTGCACTACTTCCTTGACAACCCCCTAAAAGACCTCTCGACTTTCCTCTCTCCTTCCACAGCGTTTACAAAACCCCAAACTGGAAAAAGCAGAGATTTTAGACCTTGCAGTTCAGTACATCAAAAAGACCACAAGAAAAACTGAGACAAAGGGTTTGTTTTTACTGCTTTTACTTTTTACTTCATCCATCTGAATTTACTATTAAAAGCTATTATTTATTAGTAACAATTTGCCTAATTTATGTAATGTTTTTCTATCTTTCTGCAGTGAATTCTAATCAAATGGATTCTAATGCCACTCAGAAGCAGTCTGTTTCTACGGGCCCCATCTATGCCAGTGACTTCTATGTTCCAGACTTCTATGGGAGGTTTAAATCATCTGAGCAGAAGGAAGCTCTTCTGAAACTGGGTGTCAACAATAATAACCTAACTGGTGCTTCCAAAGCAGGAAATGAACCAGTGGCCCAGACGGGCTTCCCTCTATCACCATCAGGCCAGAACTACCAGCAGGATCTTCTCTTACACCCTGAATCATCTTTGAATGACTCCAAACTTTTGCATCAGTTGACTTCTCCCCCCAGTTCATCATCATCATCATCATCACCACCACAATGTAGTTCCCCGCCATCATCTCCCACTTTTACCAGCTTATTCTCCTCTCCCAGTAACTGCCCTCCATATCTATTCATGCCTTGTCCTCTACCTGCTCCTTCTGATTCACTGTCACCTCTTTCAACACCACTTTCACTCCATAGGCCTGTCATTGTGCCTCAGCCTATTCTGCCCAACATGGCTAGAGATTTTACCCCACCGCAGTCTCCTGTACTGGCTCTTAGACTGGAACCTTTTTCTCTTCCAACCCAGTCCATATGGAGACCATGGAGCTGAACTCTTACAATGGTGTGCTTTTCCATTTTACTTAGTCACTGCTCCAATGGAGAAATGATCTCCCAGAAGGACCTAATGGGACATATGGTGTGGCATGAGCATCGGGTTATCACTTGTGTTTGCCTCCAGTTACTATTACTTTTGTCATGTTTTCAATGACGTATACTTTTAACTTGACTATTTATTGTTTTGACCAATGTTTGTCTTCACTGGTATAGCCTACCTGTGATTCTAGCAGTGAAATAAAGTCTTTTTTTAAAATCAGTCCTTGTTGTGTTCATTTAAACACCAGACTGTCTAGACTGTTTTTAGAGATGCATAAATTGCATAAAATATATATTTATTAAATACTTTTAGTAACTAAAGTACATTCACACCAGTCATACAACACTATCAGAGTTTTTAAGCCAAATGGTTCAGAAGAAGCTCCTGCAGCCAAACCATTTGGATCTTAAATGACTATGCATTGTCAGTACTAAAAAAAGTTCCTGTGATTATATTCCTTCATAAAAAAAAAACATTACTGAATGTACACATAGCCTACATTAATCAAAAACAAAAACGTTTAGGCCTATACATTTTTGTGCTAGATTGTACTAGATTATAAGATTGTAACATTAAACTTTGACCTTAATTAAATAGCCTATACAAAATCTTACAAATAGGGATGTTTTAGGACATGCTTTACAATACAATTTTTCAGAGGTCTTTAGACTTTTCCAGCATCGGACCGAACAACTCTCAACTTGTCGATGGGGGGGGGGGGGAACTGTTTTAGTAGAATCCCGGGTCATGCTCACTCATAAGGTTTATTTATGTTTGTTTGCTTATATATTTATTTTTGTGAAATGGTCTTTTGTGCCATCATCTATGCAAAGTTGGTGCAATAAAGTAACATCATAGAGAACAATTACTTGTTTACATAGGATATATAGGCCTATAGGTATTTTATATAATTTAGGCACTCAAGGCTATAGTTTGACAGAATGTTCTAATTCAACATGCCATGGAAAGTCAATCTAACTTAACATTTTCTTATATTGATATTGTTTATTTCTCACTCCTTAACAGTTAATCAGGCTCTTAATGATTTAATATATGCCATCTTTTGAATATCTGAAGGCCATGTACCATAGTTCTTAACTGTAGCATTTGTTATAATATGACTAGCATATTAATCATTACCAGGCCAATAATGACTTAAAAAAAAATAAAAAAATTAATCAATACAGCATTTGTTATGAAGAAACAATGCCACAGTTGTAATAAACATCTATAGGGAAAACTATATTCTCTTACAGTAACAGATCATCTAATATAAATTCTAAAAGTGTCACACTAAAGTGTCATTATTAGTGAAAAAAATAATACACACTTAGCCTACTGCCATTTTAAGTACTGTACTGCCATCTCGTGGTGTCTATGAATGCAGAATAATGTTTTGCAAGCATATATAGCAGGCTTCCTCAAATCTTGCCCTGGAGGGCCAATGCGCTGCAGAGTTTAGTGTGATTTTCTAATGAGCCTGAAGACATTGATTAGCATGCTCAGGTGTGTTTGATTAGGGTTAGAGCTAAACTCTGCAGGAAAGTGGATCTCGTGGGCCAGATTTGAGTATCCCTGATATATAACCTATTTACAGTATGACCAAAATACAGCACTTTTATAAGTCAGCCAAAATGTTAAAATAGTTTCTGTGTGTAACTAATGTTGATTTAAATTAAAAAAAAAAGTCATTAGACTACAGTGCATTTTTGAATTCCGCTTTAATTTAAAAACAACATATTTGTGCTCATGTCAATGTTTTGCCAAACATATTTATTGTGTTAAATTTCCATAGCTTTTTTTTTTTATAGTGTAGGCTACATGTTGAAGCATGTGACATGAAAGCCTAGTTCAACCCAGTACTGACAAAAAAAATGCGGTGGATTTACATTGGGAAAAGTTAACTATTTTCTCCAAAGATTTGCACTGATTTAGCCTACTGGTCAGTAGAGGGCAACATAAGATAGTCTTAACAGGTTCAGTCCGTAATTGAGCTCTGGCTTGTAGATACAGAGAGCCTGGTGTTGTTACCTGTGTTCCTGGGCGGTAAGCCGAGGATGCATGACTTCTCTCTCATAAATGTCAGAATTTTTCTCTCACTCCTGCAGTCTTGGATAAATCCGTAACATCTTCCCTATCTGCCATCCACATCTCTATTACAAAGCCTGAATATTTTCTGAGCAAGGCAGCAGGGGATTTGGCTGGAGAAAACAGAGTTTCTGACATGACAGAGCATGTTTTTGGATAATGGTTATTTTTTCCCCTCTCTCCTCCTTCTGCCGTCTTCACATTCAGAAGCTTCTCTCTGTACCAGTGCCATTACTTATGAGATGGCCATTGTTCATTGTGAGGTAAAAGAGCACATGATGCACATTTGCTGTCTTTCTGCAGGTTTTGATCATTGAAATGAGTGACAATCAAAGAGTGAAGCACAAATTAAAGAGGACTCTGCCTGGACGGAGGAATGCTGCCTCAGTAATCATAATTGAATGTGGTGGGGAAGAAATCACCTCGGAAAATGCAGGACAAAAGCCTGAAATCCCCGCACAAGCTTTCTCAGGTCACACTGATTAGAGCTGATCCTGTTACCTGTGTAGTCTAAGTCTTGTTAACAGTGAATGCAACTCATGCATTCCTGATCTGGTACAAAACGGGGAGGGAGAGACTTAAAGAAAACATTGACAAGGATCCAGCACAGAGATGTCACTGCTCCTGCCACGGTTTATTGGACTCTGAGTTAAATACATTTGTGTTGGCACATCTCAAAAGCAATTTGTCGAGGCAGGGCTGCTGTCAAACACTTTCATCACACGTGCACACACTTGTACATGCCCCGTCCTTCAAAGCAAGGCACTCTCACCGGCACGCACACGCACAAATGTTGTGGTTTCATTGAATATGGATCCCACTTTGTGCAAAATGTCTAAGTCTTTGTGTTATGAATATCCATTGAGTGATGTCCCATGAATGTTATTGTAGTCAGAATCAACTGTTCTAACTTGGAATAAGAGATTATTTCATTCTCAAACCTTACGTCACCTTACCATGCTGCATGTGCTCAATCTTAATGTTTAGCTGTAAGGTCAATGAGTCTTCATTAATGATTCCAGCTTCCTTGTAATGTTGACAGATCGGGTTAATGGGGGTCTTTTTCATTTCCTCATTCCATAGATTCAGAAATCCTTTTGTTAGATTATGTCAGAGCCACAGGGCATTATGCTTAAAACATGTTGTTAGAGAAGTGACTCGATAAAAAAAAAACACAGTTATTCTGGGAGGATGTACTGTATGTTTATGTGTCTTTTAGCCATGATGATCCTTGCCCTCAGTTTATTTAAAACATTTACAGATGGATAGTTTGAGTAAAGGAGGTTTAAACACAGTAATATTGCTATACTAATGGTTGCAAAAACATAAAAAAATGGTGGCGCTGTACAATGAAGACAAGAGCTGCCCTCCCAGCTAACATGGAACATTCACAGAATTTTTGCCAATGTTCTAGCAAGGTTCTCCTAAAGTTATGGACAAATGTTCTTCCAGAAACGATAATAGAACATTTGTTCAAAGTTATCTAGTCTTTAATAATGTTTTCAAAACTTTAGCACAGAAGTAAATTTTTCATGTTTTATTCTGAAACGTTTTAGTTAGATGTTCGTCTAAGATTTTTAAAATGTTAAATAATTATTAATTTATTAATAATTATAATGAAATATTATTATATTTTTTATAGCATTTTATCTTCATTATGGGGGTCATTGTGATATTATTACAGTGTATCACCTGGATGTTTTTTGTTTTGTTTTATGCAACCCCCCCCCCCCCCCCCCGCCCACAACCAACATAAAGAAAATTTTTCAATAATAGAATATCAAAATTAATTTTAATTCAGAAATTCACTCTAGGCAGGGTGTATTTGCATTCGCATTGTACGTATACATGTATGTTTGAATTACTGAGAGGACAAAAAGTAGAACTGGCTGCAAGGACACCATTGAGATTTGGCTTGGTGTACCTGGAGGAAGACACTCTTCATGAGTCCATCCTGGTCCTCAAGAATTCAATCTTTCGCTACTCACAACTAAACACCATTTTCCCCTCTTTCATTTGTCTTTTTTCCCTTCACAGGAGCTTTTGAAGTGAACGGAGAAAGGAGCACTGACTGTAGCAAATTACCTGGGCTGAAACATTTTTGACATAAATCCTAAGAGGGGGGTGAGCCACTTCTCCTGGAGGCCCCATCGGGAGCGTTTAATCTCGGGCCATGAGAGGCAGCGTTGCTGACAGCCTGACAGGACAGCTGGACACGCTTCCAGGCAGCAGTGACGGACATGCCAGTCTTCGGAGCAGGGCCACTGCCCATGCATCACCACAAAGGTAAGCACCTGACAGGGTGTGGAGACCAAAACTACTGCAGCAGTGATCACACCAGATATTGCTCTGTTTCAGCACCTTACAGTTTTAATAATGGTTTACGGTTTATATTTACGCCTTTTAGAAAGCTCTAGGTCACAACAGCCTCCTAAGAACTTATACTTCAGGGCCGAATCCATGCAACAGAGGCCTATTTAGCCATTGTTCATTATCATATGTCAGCCAGGAAGTCTTGCTGAATATTGTCCTTATCACAGATCCCAAATCCTTAATAGCTGTTCTGTGGGCAAAAACTGTTTTTATAAGCCACTGTAGTAGAGAGCACCGCCCAGTTCTGTAACAGAGGGTAAATAGATGCGATATACTCCTCTATTTCCAGACAGTCAAAACAAAAACGTGGTAACAATAGCTTTGGAGACTAGCAATTGTGCTGCTGAGACACTATTTGACATTTTCTTTCTCCTGAATAATGTCTTTCATTGGGGAGCCTTACAAACGCTCTATTAATTTGGAAAGTCAATTGTTGTATAATTTGCCTCTGAATGCATAAAAAATAAACTCTTTCACAATGTTCTGCACAATTAGTCCTTCGTACTGTATAAATAGCTCTTTTGAAACCAACAATGTGTAATTGTGTTCACTTTGAGCGATGAGCTCACAAATATGGAGCTCTTTCCATGTTTATCGCTTCAAGCTGCATTGTTAAAGCATTTGGCATGAACAGAGGTTGCGGTCGACGTGGAGTTTGTCGTGCCCTGAGGTTGTGTGTTAACTGAGGAGTCTCTCTGGTGTCTGAAAGCAGTGCTCCCTGCCAGCTCCTCTGACCTCGAACCCCCTGCAGTGGGTGGGCCGTGACCCAGGTAGCCTAAAGCCATGCTGGGTAGCAACTTCTGCTCTAGAGTTCTTGTAATCCGTCAGGATGTACTTCAGCTCAAAAAGAGGGTTGCACTCTTCTACCGCCACTAACACTCCTTTTAAAAACCAGGAACAACTTAACAGTTCAAAGGTCAGCACAGGAAAAAGCTGGCGGCAGTTAAAAATAGTGTGTGATTTGTATTTTGGCTAAAAATACTGAGAGATATGGTTTTGATCAGGCCTGAAAAGCAATGAGAGGTATATAAATGAAACGAATGAATAAAAAAATTTATTTTGCCCTGAGAAAATATGGAATTTTAATATGCTACTGTTTTTCCAGTCATCATGCAAAAGTCTTTGAAATCATTGTGATCTTCAGTGTTCCAGTGAAGCATTCTATCTGCATTACTATGTTATGACAGTTGTATCACCCTGACAATTTTTAGTTCATGCACTCCAAAAACAAACATTAAAATAAATTTAAATCAGAAATTTAAAACAGGCCTGAAAAGCAATACAAATGGAAAGAGATAAATTAATCAAGAAATGGATTTTAAAAGAAAACATGGGATTTAAATATGCTACAGTTTTTCTAGTCATCATGCAAATGTGTTTGACCTTGTACTCAGTGTTCCAACAGGAAATGTTCGAATTTCCAATTTGAAACCACTTTTGTTGCTGTTTAAAAAATTGAGTCACATTATCATTACGCTTTGCGCAAACTTATGTTTGTCATTCACAGGAAACGTGCAGTAGAAACTAGTATTTAAAAACATTTAGTTAACACCTGGCATCTCTGCTGCAGCAGTGCAATGTATACTTTGAGAAAACAACCTTTGGCCTGGATGAGGGGGTTTCCCAAAGCAGCACTAGTGGATTCAGTCAGGAAAGTGCCATAGTTACATTTGGAAAGTACAGCTTGGCTTTGAGCCAAATACAAATGCCTTTTATTGTGTTGTAAGTGCATACAGCTCATCATAACCACATTACAGCTTAAAACGTTTGCTCAGAGATTCAGCTGCTGTATGGAAAATGGCTGTAGAGGCATGTAGGTTATTATTATTTTTTATTTTATTAAAGGGATAGTCTACTAAAAATGAAAATACTGTGATCATTTACTCACCCTCATGTCACTACAAACCTGTATGAATTTCATTCATTTGTGGAACACAATAGAACATTTTGAAGAATGTAAGTAACCAAAGAGTTTTGATGACACTGAGATAATTCTCAATATATGTATATATATATATATATATATATATATATATACAGTATATATATATATATATTAGGGCTGTCAGTCGATAACATTTTTTAATCTAATTAATTACATGACGTTTCGATTAATTAATCTAATTAATCACAAAATAAATTTCACTGTGAAAATACCCACAAAAGATTATTTACAGCTATTTTTGTGTTAAATGAGAAAGTATCAAGACATTACAAATTCTAGCTTTAGAAAGAGATATTTTATTTGATTCAACATAAAATTAATTACACATAAGCATTTAGGCTATAATGGCCTAACGTAAACTATGGAACAAAAAAGAAGATAATTTGAGAAACATCTCAGTATTTTTTGTTCATACAATGAATGTCATTGGTAACTAAAACAGCTTTGTTACCAACAGTCTTCAAAATACCTTCTTTTATGTTCCACAAAAGAACATTTTGAAACGACACGAGTCGGGTGAGTAAATGTTGACAGAATGTACATTTTTTTGGGTGAACTATCCCTTTAATGTTTTTATTTTTATTATAATTTTTTTTAATGAAATAATACTCTAAATAAGAAACTAAATCTGCCAGCAGGTGGCGGTAAATGCCTTTATGATTCGTTCAAACAGCTGATTCGTTCAGGAATGAAGTAAATGGCTCTCTTTATGAATGGCCCTTTGTTTGAATCATTGGTTCACACGATTTGTTCAAAACGCAGATTCATTCAGAAACTAACACCGCTGTGTTGCTCGGAGATGCACAACAATTTTTCATAACTAATTAATTTTATAAATATACATTTTAAGATAGAAAAAAGTTGGGAAATGGTTTAATAATAATGATAATAATAACAACAACAACAATAATAATAGTATAATTATTATAATTTTTTTTACTTCTGATCTTAAAAATACGACCAATAAAAATGTGTATTAAAGATATGTTTAAAAAATAATATATATATATATATATATATATATATATATATATATATATATATATATATATATAT